TCTCTGTAAACCGCTTAGAGAGGCCTGAAAGGCCTATGAAGCGGTATATAAGTCTACTGCTATTGCTATTGCTATTCCCCCCCATCCAGTCAGAGCTGAAAAAACTGTGATTGTAAATGCTATTTGAGAATAAGGACGCAAAGACACTTGTAACCAAACGGCATGCTGTATGTAATGGATGAGATCTTTTTTTAAAAATATTGTTTTTTTAATGTTTAAAAATAAAAAAATAGATTGGGGGGAAAAAAACTTCTTGGATGAGAATCGAACTGCCTTCAAAGAAAAACCAGAAAGTCCAGTTGCCATTTGAAAAAGCACCTTTGGGACAACCGAAACCTGGATGACTGAGAATCGCCATAGACACAAATGTGATCAATTAAGAGATTTCTCCCTTTGAACCAAATGGGGGCTATTGTTATTTAAATTAATTTTTATTTTAATTGAATAGACATACTCTGAGTTGTTGTAGGGTAGCAACCACGAACTGCCTATAGCCTTCGAAATCAGTGCATGGATTTCCTACAAGGAAGAGCTCTTCGAGATGTATATTGTTTTTCAGCGTTTTGACACTAGACAATTCTCCAATGAAATTTGCTGTCAGGTCCAGCTTCTGCAGATCTTCACAACCTGTTTGAAAAAGTACTTTTAAAATAGAATGGTCGACTCGACCTTGAATTAACACACACTCCTGTCTCAAAGACATCGTGCTGACTCCCTTCCTCATTCATCCTTTTTATGAAAGTAAACAAGGTAAAGATAAATGTTCCCCTCGCACATATGTGCTAGTCGTTACCGACTCTAGGGGACGGTGCTCGTCTCCGTTTCAAAGCTGAAGAGCCAGCGCTGTCCGAAGACGTCTCCGTGGTCATGTGGCCGGCATGGCTAAACGCCGAAGGGGCATGAAACACTGTTACCGTCTCACCAAAGGTGGTTCCTATTTTTTCTACTTGCAGTTTTTTACCTGCTTTCGAACTGCTAGGTTGGCAGAAGCTGAGAATAGTAATGGGAGCTCATTCTGTTACACGGCGCTAAGGACTCGAACCACCGAACTGCTAACCTTTCTGATTGACAAGGTCGGATGTGGTAACTCAGTGGCTACAACACTGAGGTTGTCGATTAGAAAGGTCAGCAGTTCAGTGGTTCGAATCTCTAGCACCACGTAATGGAGTGAGCTCCAATTACTTGTCCCAGCTTCTGCCAACCTAACAGTTCGAAAGGACGTAAAAATGCAAGTAGAAAAATAGGGACCACCTTTGGTGGGAAGGTAACAGCGTTCCGTGTGCCTTCGGCGTTTAGCCATACCAGCCACATGACCACGGAGACATCTTCAGACAGTGCTGGCTCTTTAACTTTGAAACGGAGATGAGCACCGCCCCCTAGAGTCGGGAACAACTAGCACATAGGTGCGAAGGGAACCTTTACCTTTATAAAAGTAAATATCAGATGCTAAAAAGGTTGACCAAGATTATTTTAAAAATGATTAAAATTTGTTTCTCAAGTCATAAAACATTTTCTCATAAAGCAGGAGATGTAAATGTTTAAACATTTATAAGTGCAAAATCAGGAAAGCGATTTATAACTTTCAGATTTCAAGAAAATAACCATCAATCATATTTGTATTATTATTGAACTGCAGTGTATTATTATATTTTATTATGTAATTTTACAAATCACTTTATTATCTTACTTATACTTCGTGACCTGCCTAGAATCCCTTGGGATTTGGGTGGTCAATGCATTTCATAAATTAATAATATGTGATCAGAAACAGCAGTTTCTTCCCATCCTGTTTTTTTTTATGCCATTCAAAAATATGTCATTAAATATTTCAGGAATACTGACAAAATACTTGTTTCTGATTTTAAAATATAATGGTCCAGGACGCACACATTCAGAATGGATGGTTAACTAGAACTGCACAGAATCACTGGGAATCAGGCAATATATAAATTAAATATATTACCACTGATTGCGCAGTCAGCCAGATGTTTAATGCTGGATTTGGCATTTTGATCCAGCTATCGAGTTCTTCCCAAGGACTTGGGATACTATTATTTTACTGCTCCAGGACTGCAAGTGGGCTCTTAAAACTTTGGGTCCACTCACAAAATCATTTATAATTGTATGCAGGGGTACCTCGGTACTCATCATTAATTGGTTCCGGGAGGTACAATACGTACCAAAAAGGATGAGTAGTAAACAAACTTTTTCCCATAGGACATAATGTAGGGCAGGGTTATCAAACTCAATTTCATTTAGGGCTGCATCAGGGTTGTGTTTTACCTTGGGGGGGAGGCAGGTGGGTGTGTCCGGCATGGGCATGGCCATGGTTGGCATAGCAAGCTCGATGTTATTCGTGCCGGGGGCACTTGTGATAGCCCGGGCGGGGCTGGGGAGGGGATTCACTTTTGCTAGTAGTTTGTTTTGCTAATACTCTGCCAGCAAAAACGGAGCTCAGGGGGCTCCGCGTGCAGCTTCCCCTGGCTCCATTTTTGGCTTGACGGCCTCCTGCAGCCCACTCTAGCGAAAAGGACCACTGTGCATGGCCCTCCCGAGCTCCACTTTCACTGGCAGAGGCACCACAGGTTGGTCTTTTGCAGTTTCCAGGACAGCCCCGCGGGCGAGATCTAAGCATCCCGCAGGCCGAATTCAGCCCGCGGGCCTTGAGTTTGACACCCCTGATGTAGGGAGTCACAAGGCAGCTGACATCGACAAGTTCTAGATTCTAGTATCAAGTATCAAGCAAGTACAAGTACCGGGTCAAAAGTTTTGTGCATTGAGTGCCAAATCCAATGAGTTTCAAAGAAGTTGAGTACGAAAGTACCATTGTATGAGGATGTGACAGTTTGACAAATAAAGACACAACAATTGAGATGCGCCTGCCTTTTTTCCAGAAATAGATGCGTATGTATGAACAAGCATTCCCCATAGAAACATTCTTTGAAAGACAAACATCTTACCTTCCAAATTTTCAAATTTTTCAATGTTGTTTAAAGCCAGATTTAAATATTCAAGTTTCTTCAATCGGCTCACATTTTCTGAAACATAATTATTACATGTGTCAGTTTTGCTGGGATACACTTAGCAGTGCCAATAGGTTCAGCAGTTAATCCTTATAAAAAGAGCATCCAGACAGACACTGAAAGAGGGGGAAAAGACGTCTTCAAATAACAAAAAGATTACTTGAGCAAAATGATGAATTAATTAAATACACAGAATGTTTGTGTCAGAAAAAGAGAAGCATGGCATAAATTAAGGATCTTCTTATTCAAATGACATTCCTCTTCACTGCAAGTATTTGGAGGATTAAATTAAACTGCCCAGTTTTTTTTTTACTTTTGAAAAATCCAAAGGATTGTTGACTGGATTAATTTGAATAAAACACACAGATTGTATCAGGGTTGACTCAAAGGTCCCTTCCCGCCCTATGATTCCATGTTCTATGTCTGTATTAAGGAGACATTTGCAGTGAAAGTTAGGTCTAGTTTCTTTTTAGTTTAATTTAATTTACTTTATTGTCATTGCACATTGAAATTAAATGCCGTCTTCAGGGTACATTATAACTATAAAAATAAAAACAAAAACACATTTCCTTCACATTCTATACAATTGAGTTGAAAACCCCTGATATTGCATTAATGTTGCACTATACAGTAGAATTCAATATAGTTACTGCCCTGGGATAGAAGCTGTTTTTCAGCCTATTTGTCCTTGTTTTTAATTATCCTGTACCGTCTGCCAAATGGTAATAGTTCAAAAAAAAAAAAGGTGCCCAGGATGAGATGGATCTTTAAGAATGTTTTGAACTTTCTTAAGGCAGAGGAAGCTATAAAGCTCTTCCAAAGAGGGGAGGGGGCAACCAATGATCCTCTGGGCAATGACATTAACCCTCTGGAGTGCTGTCCTATGTGCCACTGGGCAATTGGCAAACCATACACAGGTGCAGTCAGTGGGGCAACGATAGAAGGCCATCAGCCCTTTTTTATTTCAGTTTTTCCCCATTTTAAATGATTTTTCTTCCTTAAGTTATCGTATATCCTTTTCGCTGCCCAGTGCATCACTATGTACATCAGTTCACTTCACTGAGAAATATACCAACCAATTTTGGAGATCAAGTTGTTTTGGAGATAGAGAATTTTTAAATTTCGGCACCATTTGTCCAGATGTTCAATTTTCTCTATGTCCTGTTGATGCAGGGAAACTTCTTCCAAAGAGAAGAGTTCACAGTTGTTATGCTCTGCCCGCTGTCTCACCAATTCTTCCGTGACTGGAGGACATATCATAAAACAGAGAACCTGTTTCTTTCGTACAGCCAAAAGGATGCAGACTGTTCCTTGGAAATAAACTAAATTCATTCATTCATTCATTCATTCATTCATTCATTCATTCATTCATTCATTTATATACAGGAGCTTCATAAAAGCGAACGGGATTTTTTTCAAAAAAAACCCACAATGATAAGAATGGCAAATGTCTTGTAACATGTGGCACAATGTGCTTTGATTGGCATTGTCTATTGCCATGATGGCAAACCTATGGCACATGTGCCACAGGTGGTACGCAGAGCTCTCTCTGCGGGCATGCGAGTCACCACCCCAGCTCAGCGCTTCATATGTGTACATGCCGGCCTGCCGGTTTTCAGGTCTCTGCCATGCATGCACAGTGGACGGTGCGCAATCATAAGATGCATGCACATGTAGGGGGAGCGGAGATCACATGCACATGCGTATGGTGTAAGGGCACATGCAGGAAGGTCGCGTGCGCATGCGTGGGGATTGAGGCGCACATGGGGGGGTTACGGGCACAGGAACAGGGGGCACATGTGCATTGCATTATGGGTTTGTGCGTGCGCTTTTGGCACTCTGTGCCAAAAAGATTAGCCGTCACTGGTCTATCGTGTTCCATCAAATGCATGCGGTTGAGAAATGGATCTTAGCAGAGCAAAGATTTTCCTTGTCAAATGAAGAATAAATGACCCAGTGGAACAATCTCACTCAATGTTTAACGAGGCACTAATGAACCTTCAACACTTCATTATTTTGCAATCAATGCCTTTTATGCAGAGAAAAGCTCAACCTTATATTCATCAATAAAAGAAAATGGCAGGAGGAGTTTAGAGCAGCAGTCAAGCCTTTTGGCACCAGGGACCGATTTCATGGAAGATAATTTTTTCATGGATGGGGGTGGGAGATGGTTTCAGTTTCATTCGCTCGCCCCCCACTTAGGTCCAATTATGCATCCTAGCTCCTAATGGGCCACAGTACCAATCTCCCACAGCCAAAATAAATAGTGTTCTTCCATCCCATTATACCCACATGGGGATTTTAAGTGACTCAAAATGTGACATTTCAACCCTATTGCTCCATTGTACAAGTGTAGCGGCCTGCCAGCAGCCAGCAGAGCTGACAGCAGAGTCGGACAGTGAGGAGGTAGGGGAAGAACCTGGGCCAGTCCTGGAGTCTGGGGAAGGCTCTGATGAGGGCTCTGTGTCGGAGGCAGAGAGGGGGCCAGGGCCATCTGACAATTATCAGCTGCCCTCGGAGTCACGCATCAGTGGGGCAGAAGAATAGCAGGAGCCTGTTCCCAGTGTATGCATGCGCAGAGCTGCCAGGAGAAGGGAACAGCTAAGGAACAAGAGTCGACTTGGGAGTAAGGCCACAGGGGGACGATGAATGGCCCCTCCCAGAGGAAATAAAAGAGGAGCGAAAGGGGAGTGGAGTTTGCAGGAGACAATTAGTTCGCTTAATTGATGGGAGTGGCTTGCTGCCTATGTGACCAGGTATGAAGATGCCGACGACACTTGTCAGAACC